TAGCAGCATGTTGTCACACATACTCAAGAGAAAATTTTACTAGTTGTATCAGCAGTAACAGAGGCTATCATTCAAAGACCAAGTAGCATGAGACATCCCAGGGGAACCCATCAAGAATGCACTGGATATCCAGTGGAGCTGGGACAGACACTCCCTGTTTGCTACCTCCCACTACAACCATACATCATTTGGGGGATGAGAGATACAACTGTAAACCTAAAAAAAGTGTCTGAGACAGGTCTCAATCAGTTTAGAGGTTTATTTTGCCAAGGTTGAGAATGTGTCTGGGAAAAAGAGACACAAGCCACTGGAGGATCTGTGGCCTACACTTTTTCCCAAGGAAGTTTTGAGGGTTTCAACCTTAAAGGGGGAAAAAGTAGGCAGGAGAGGAAGGAGGGAAACAGAAGATGGAGGGTAGGGCAAAGGAGACAAACAGTGATGTTCTTTTGAGGTTTTGATTAGTGCTCACTGAATCCACAGATTGCATGTGAAAAGGAGTGGGTAGAGGAAGAGTCAACTATGTATATCTCAGGCTCTGTGAATCTGCGCCTTATATAAGATAAAGTAATCATACCGCAGAGAAAGGAGGGATGATTTCCATTCTCCTCTTGTCCCATACCCAGGAAGGTAAGCTATTAATTTACATTGTCAGAGTAAAGGAGGCTACCTAGGGAGATATGTGGCCTTCTGTCTTGTAGTTATTTGTTTAGGAGCAAAAAGAAAGACCAGGGATTTTTTGTTTGTTTGTTTTGTTTTTTTGCATGACTCAGTTTCCAAGTTGGCTTAACTTTTTCTTAGGCATAGTGAGTTTGAGGTCGCAAGAGTTTCTTCTCCTTCCACACAACCATGTTTTGTTTCTCTTTTCAAAAAGTTGCATAAGGTAGTAAATTTTCTAAGATTGTCTTACATAACAATCAATCATTTTGTAAGGCATGTAGAATTTTACATTCAAAGTCTAACAGCATCAGAAAAATTAATAGCCTAATTCATACTCTCTGGAATGTGCCAAAATATCTGGTATATGATTTAGAAATTACTACCCATGCCAAGAAGCATTTGATGAAAACAAACTCAGATTTTCTATTTTAGTCTAACACATAAAGAACTCAGAAGCCATCACTCCTATTGTCACAAGAAAAAAATATGAAGAAACTGAAAATCAACTCTTCTTAGATCCATCAGAGAAATTAGAACATAGAACAAACTGGATTCTGAAAACTATGGATAGGTGCATATTGTGGGAGAGGAAAGATATTCCTTTACCATCTGAGGGTTTGATAGTTGAGTCCATGAATTAAACTGACTGTAGGCAGATTCACAGGAGAAAAGGTGTACAAATTTATAATGTGCACAGTGGCATCACATGAAAGAAAAGAATATCCCCAAACCCAGTGAAAGCTAGAAACTTAGATACCCTCTTCATAGGGGAGAGAGGAGGGCGGATGTAGGCAACTTAGGGGACAGCAAGTGATTTTGGGAGAAGATGAGTGAGCACTCAGAAAAAGAGGTGATAGCCTATAACAAAGTCTGTCTGGGTGTGGTTTCAAACCCAGGGGAAGGGAAGTAACCTAGGTCAGATGACCGCCCTGCCCACCCCCACTATCACCCCCAAGCCTTCCCATTTGTGCTAAAAAGGAAGAAATAGCTGAGAACAGTTGTGATGTCTATAGACCAAAGGCATGAAAAGACACAGATGTTAAAAGCATATTACTAAATGGAAAAAAACAGTCTGAAAAGGCAGCATAATATATGATTTCAACTGCAAGACATTTTGGAGAAATCAAAACTATGAAGACAATAAAAAGGTCAGTAGTTGTTGGTCAGTAGTTGCCAGGGATTTTGGAGGAGGGAAAGAGGAATGAAGAACAAGTGGAGCAGGGAGATTTTTAGGGTTGTGAAACTATTTTGCATGGTATTGTATGGATGGATACAAGACATTGGGCATTTGTCAAAACCCAGAAGTACAATAGAGAATGAACTCTAATGTAAACTAGTAACTTTAGTTGATGAATAATGTATCAGTATTGTTTCATTAATTATATCAAGCATACCACACTAATGCAAGATGGGAAGCAGTGCAGGAGTGGAGAGAGACAGGAGGTATATGGAACTTTCTGATCAATTTTTCTGTAAACTCTGTATCACTCTTAAAAATAAAAATTTAAAATAACTGAGATGACGTGATGTTGGAATAAGGATTGGCATATTGTGGTTCATCATTGGTCCGGTGGCACCTTTGGTCTTGGAGGATGGGGTTCTTACTTTTATGGTATAGTTTTTCTGAGATTTCAAGAAATGCTGAAACTAAAAAGAAAGAGAAAGAGTCCCACATGAAAAGTAAGCATATGAAGCTTGGTGTGGCTATATTAATATCAGACAAAGTAGACTTCAAATCAAGGAGCATTTCTGGGCATAAGTAATAAGATTTTGTAGTGAAAAAAGAAAGAAAAAATATAATTACATATCAATATAGTAATAGAGCTAAGAATACAAGAAATCAAATTGACAGAAATAAAATATGAAGTAGACACATATACAATCAGAAGTGGACAACTTAATGAATCTGAGTCATCAACAAAACAAGTAGACAAACAAAGTGAAAATAGAAGATTTAAACAGCATTGTCACAGGACTTGACGTAATGACATTTATAATAGCACAATGTACAAAAAAACTATAGAATACACGTTCATGGGAACAACAAAATAGACTATATTCTAGATCATAAAGTATTATACATTTCAAAAATTAAAATCTTACTAAGTGTATTATCTGAATATACCGTTAAATGAGACATGTACAAAAATAAGATACATTAAAAACTCCAAATATTTAGAAATTAAATAACACACTTTTAAATAGCCCGTGAATTAGAGAATTAGAGAAACCACAGTGAAGATAGACAATATTTTGGACTGACATGAAAATAAAAATATCAAAATTTGTGTAATGCCGGGTATAATGGAAAATTTATGAATGAAAATGCTCATATTACAAAAAATATATAAATAATTATTTAATTTCCCATCTGAAGAAGCTAGAGAAAGGGCAATTTAAACCTAAAGAAAGAAGGACAGAATTAAAAGGAACAGTAATCAATACAATTGAAAACATAAAAACAGTGTATATATATATATATATATATATATATACTATTCTGTATGTACTATATATATACTATTCTGTATATACTATATATATACTATGTTGTTTCTGTGAAAAGATTAATAAATTAATATAAAAATTAATAAAATTGATTAATGGATTAGAATTAATAAAAGTGAAAATTACAAGTTATCACTAGCAAGCAAGAAAGAGCACACCATTATAGCCACTGCAGACCTTAAACAATAGGGTATTATTATGAATAATCTTATGCCCAATAATAAATAAATCATAAATCAATTTGATACCTTATATAAAATAGATAAGCTAACAAATAAATAACTTGAAAGAAGAAATGGAAGATATGAATAAGACTACATTTATTAGAAAGTTTCTATTTGCAATAAAAGTTTCTCCATGGTTAAACTCTATCAAATATTTAAAGAAGAAATAATATCAACTGTATAGAAACTAGAAGAGGGAATGGTTATTAACTCATTTTCTGAAGACAGCATAATTCTGAAATGCATAGAGTATTGTAGCAAAAACAATAAAATAAAATTACAATTCTATACACTTTAGGAATATATATTCAGAAGTCCTTAAACCAATGTTTCTGAATAGAATCCAGCAATGTATAAAATGATACTTTATGATCAATGTTGTTTATCCCAGGGATGATGAGTTGGTTTACTTTAAAAGAACAATAAATGCAAATCATCATATTTATAGAATAAGAATATATAATTTAATAATGTAGAAATATCATTTAGCAATTTTCACCAGGCATGCATGATTAAAAAAGCAAACTTTCCGCAAAATAGGAATAGAACGCAACATCATCACCTTGATTAAGTGAAATAAAAACAGCTTACAGGTAAATTGATAATTAGTAGTGAAACTCTAAATACTTCCCTCTCACATTCAGGAACAAGACAATAATGTCTGCTTTCTATCTTATCCTTTGTTACAGAACAGCCAAACAGAAAAATGGTGAAGGTGTCCATGGATTTGGGCAAGAAGGAGGTCTTTGGTGGAATAATGAAAAGGTCTTCAGCATCGTGATGGGGCAGAAGATGAATCTCAGTAGTTTAAATAGTAAATAGGAGGAGAATAGGTGATGCTGTTTGGGAAATTTCTAATAACTGTGAAGAGAAAAAATAAGGCTGTATGTAACTAAGGGAAACAAGGGATCAAGAGTAGAGATTTTTTTTTAAGATGAAAGAGGTTTACACATGGTTAAATATATTGCAAGAAAGCCAGAAGACAAGGAGAGAAGAGTTACAGCAAAAGAAGAGAATAATCCACATAGAGATTTGTAAGGACTGTGTCTATGCGTGGGGTGGCAGGTATGGGAAGAAGGGTGGTGGAGAGAGAGAAAGGCAAGAGGTGGCTGAAACCCCTGTCACGGGTTAACCCTGAAGGGGAGACATCTTTTCATTTTTTTCGGAAAGCATGCTTGTATGGATGATGGCCAACAGTTGAAAGTGTTCCTGCTTAGCACCCCCCTTTTTTTCATATTTGTGTGTTGGTGGGATGTGGGTGTGTCTGATAAGAAATGAGGCCACCTACTAATAATCTTGAAAGAGAAATAATGTATTAAAAGTGGGGGCAATTTTTAAATAGGCTGTTTAAAAAATGGGGAGGAGGCTAACTAGCAGCATATAAGTTTGCTGAGCTCCTAGTTCATGTTGGTTACCTGGAGTGTATGTAGCATGAAACTCCATAGAGGCATCCTTTGGTTCAGCAATGTTCCAGAACCTAAGCTAATACAAAGAAGTTGGGCCACTGGACTGCTTCATAACAGTGATTTTTCTTTTTCTTTCTCTCTCTCTCTCTCTTTTTTTTTTTTTTTTTTTGATGGAGTTTAGCTCTTGTTGACCAGGCTAGAGTGCACTGGTGTGACCTCGGCTCACTGCAACCTCCGCCTCCTGGGTTCAAGCCATTCTTCTGCCTCAGCCTCTAGAGTAGCTGGGATTATAGGCGCCCGCCACCATGCCTGGCTAATTTTCTTGTATTTTTAGTAGAAACAGGGTGTCACCATGTTGGCTAGGCTGGTCTCAAACTCCTGACCTCACATGATCCACCTGCCTTGGCCTCCTAAAGTGCTGGGATTATAAGCATTAGCAACCATGCCTGGCCCATAAGAGTGATTTTTCAAGTCAACGTGGCAGAAAATAAGAGGAAAATCTGAGGCTGTTGGCAAGGGTGATTGACAAGAAAGACCCTGTCCATACGTTGAACACAGAAAGAAACAAAATGAGAAGGCTGAGAGATAAGGTACACAAATGGGAGTCTTCAGACTGAGGATCTCGATGAGGGTACAGAATTCAGTTACTCAGTGAGTCATGGATAGGCACCAGAAAAAGAGAAGATTCTAGGTAGAGAATAGAAGATTTAAATATAAGATCTTAAAGCTGAATAGTTCCTGGGTATGGCAAAGCCTGAGAGTATGTAACTGAAATTGGGTGGACAGAAGCTGCAACTGGGGCCAATGACGTCGAGGTTTGGAATGGTCATCAGAGCAGACATGGGAATAACTCTGTATAATGACTTGAGTGGAAATGGAAAGTATGGTGAGAGGACGCAAAGTGAAAAAAGCAAGAGGAACAATGCATCGAGGTTATTACCGGCAGGTAGAACACCTAAGCAAGGCCACAGGCACCCAGGAGAAGGCAGCAAGTTTCAGACCCACGAGTGCTGCCACCTGGAGCACGGGGAAGGGGAGAAGGGGAGCAAAGAGAGGGAGGCTGCAGAGACCTTGGATTTTCATTTTATATAAAGGGACTTAGGAAGGCATTTTCTCAACAGATAAATGGACAAATAGCTACATGTTTACACACATACTTGTCTAAACCCTGGGGATTTAAGTAGCAAGTTATACAACAGCAGAATGTGAAAGTGCATTGTCATTATATTTGAATTGAAAAAGTCATCAAAAACTTAGTGGTTATTAAAGCTTCCAAAATTTGCTGTATCCAGAAACATTCTACAACTAGAAACTTGATGAGAAGGTGACTTAAAAATGAATAAAGATGTTTGCAGCAAGAAATAAAAATAAAATAAAAGAGCTGCTGGTAGAGAGAGTCAGAGTTGGTCCATAATTAATATGAACATCAATCTCTTTGAATGTCAGGATGAAAGCCTATTCTTGCTGAAATAATTTGATTCACAGTATCTTAAAATAGCATACAAGGGGAGAGAAAGAAGCATTGGCAAGGAAAAGGTCTGTAACAACAATAGTGTCTAGTTTCTTCCCTTGTTTCCTTTGGTGTGAAAAGTCCTAGAAGAGGGAAAGTGCTTCTAGGTTGGATGCTGGGTCAGTCTGCTCCTGGCCCCACCCTCTGGGAGAAGCAGGCACTGGTTTGAGCAGTTGGAATAGCCTCAGAGAACAGGAAGTTCTTTGATCAATTTACATTACAAAGAAAGTCATGTTCCAGAGGCATTTTAGCCTAAAGTGCAATCATTCCTCATCATGCAATCTAGAAGTGTAGCTGAAAAATGCTGACAATATGTTTCATATAACATCAGTATGACACATTGCATAATACAGCATTGCAATTATCTTTATTGAAGGGCTGCTATGGGGCAGTCATGGGCTTTATACATGTCACTTCTTCTAGTCATTACGTCAGCCCTATATGGAAGACATAATCCCTGTTGTAGAGAGAGGAAAACAGACTTAGAAAATAAGTGTTAAGTAATATATCTTAAAGGTAAGCTGCTGTCTCTGTGGCTGCCCACCCTATGATCTTTCCACCATGTCACTCTGCCTTCCGAGCAAGAGTCTCTCTAGTCAATGGCACTTCCTTAGGAAAGGTTCAGAAAGGACATGACAAATTACATCCTGCTTCAGCTTACAGCAGTGCTCTTTCCAGCTCAGTGGCTTTACAGTGAACAGGGATCAGACCCACAACCTCAGGCTAGTACAACAGAGCCCAGCAGCCTTTTACTGCCATACCTGGAAACCCAATCACTGTCAGAAAACACCCTAAGGCAAAGTGGTGATATCTGTCCTTTCCTGATGCTGGGTCTCAGTCCCACAGAGAGAGGGCCAGTGTGTCCTGGTGATAATCTTAATTCACACATTCATTCATCCAATGTGCATTTGGTGGGCACCATCGGTGGGCTATGTGCTATGATGGGCATTCAGAATATACAAATCAATAAAGCAATGTTCCTGCTCTCAGTGAATTCACAGATCAGTGAGGCCAAAATAATGAGAAACAATTGTTACAAGGTGGTGTGCCGAGGGCAAAGGCAGCATTACAAAACTATGGGAGTGGACAAGGGAGAGATGAAAAGATGGGTGAGTATGTTCCAGTGCTCTACATGAATACTATAGACCACAGGGGCTCATACATTCACTGTCTCCACAGATAGCTTGTGCTACTGGATGTGTTGCCACCTCAGAAATAGCCAGTTTTCAGCTATAGGTCACTCCAGGAGCAAAGGACAAATAGATTAGTATTGAGGACTCACTTTTCCTAAAGAGTCTAATGACTTTATAATAAAAGTGTTTCTACTAAAAGTTTGACTATAATAAGACCAAAATATGCTGGCTTATTTACTGTTGGTTTCCAGAACTCAGTCTTCTTACAGATTTCTGAAGATACAGTATTTTTATCTGAAGACACATGTTATTTGGGAGTTGCATTCACTGTGAGCAAAGCTATCCAGGCAAATAGAGGTAAGGTGCTTTTGTGCTCATATTTCCTCATAAAAATACAAAGTCTGGGAGTAAACTGTAGTTAGCATTCATTTTGATTGGTTTGGATTGTTTCTCCTTGTTTTTTCCTTACAGTCTGTGTTGAGGGAGCTGTGGCTGTTCTGGATGTGACTTGTGCCCTGGGCTGGAAGAAAGGGAGGAGCAGAGGTAAGCCGGTACACACCCTCTGAGTCTGCCTTTCTCAGGTTTCCTGGAAGCTGCACCCAACAACTTTTGCTTCTGTCTCAAAAACAATGGCTATGTCACTGCCCCATCTGCAAGGGATTTCCCGCATGGAGATCTGTTAAAAAGAGAAAGGGGGAGGAAACACTCTAGAGGGGACAAATGTTAGTCTCAGTTGTAGTCATCAACCTTTATTTTTAGAAAATGATGTTACTTGGGCATTTTAGGAAAACTTTTATAAATTACTAGGTGAATAAATCATAAGACAGCAGGAAGAAAAACAAGTTAGTGTGTTCAGCTTCCCTACCAGTAACAAAGAAATATTTCTGGCTCCAAAACCAGACCTGCAGACAGAAAGTTATGGTAGTGCTGATTTATTTGTACCAACTGATTGAATTTATGAGTTTGCATTTATTATTTTATCCTAGCCATTACTCAACAGCTTCATCGTGACATGCTTACATACTGGCTCATAAATTACGTATCTTTCTTTCACAAAAATGTGACATGTCAAAAGAGAGAGGCTTATTTCATTTATTTTTTTCTGCTTTCAGATATCGAGTTTTAGGGAGAAAGAAAATATAGCATGAAGTAAAAATGCAATCTGATTTGAAGTTGGTATTCTTGGCCTAGCAATTCCAGCTAGCAAAGCAATTTACTGATTCAAAATAGTACTCATCTTGAAGAGGAAGCTGGTGTGTATGTATTTATATATATGCATATATATGTGTCTATATCTTAAAAATATATGTATATGCCATGCATATACGTACATATTTAACATCTCATTTAGTATCTCAAACACATTTTTTTCTGAAACAGGTGCTTATATATTTTGGGTTGTTTTAGTTGTTTGCTTTACTGTTGCTGAAGAACAAAAGCACTCCTTGGAGTGATTTCTCCCTTCCATCAGAAGGAGGCCCCTCCATGTTTCATGCGGGGAAAGCCTCTGAGTACGTCTTCACATTGCAAGTGATAAATTGGTTGGCCAACTTTTTTTCAGCAGAAAGCAGTGGATCAACTTACTGTCCTTCTATGCTCTTAAGATCTCAGCACTTCTAACACTTTATTTCTGAGGCACTACTATATTTTGGAAAAATCTTACGGAACATATTAAAATTTCGTAAATCAAATGTTTTCAGCTGAACAGCTATATTATCTATTTATATCCATCTACCTAGCTATACATAAATGATAAGACAGTTGTTTACATCTATCATGAACCACGACCTCTGCTGGCCACTGGGGCTTCAGATAGACACGCACACCTGTGTGTCTTCAGTGTTGCCCATAATGAATGAAAAACTACAATACCATGCAGTAAGTTCCGTGATCAAAGCACGGGGACTTGAAACTATTTTTCTGAAATATAAGTTGAGTGGGGAAGGCTGAGGGGTAGTCACAATCAAACCTAGTATCTCTGTACACTAGTAAGTAAATGCACAAATGTACTTTCTCTTTTTTCTTCTTTTTTTGGAGGTGGAATCTCTCTCTTCTTGCCCAAGCTGGAGTGCAGTGGCCCAATCTCGGCTCACTGCAACCTCCGCCTCCCGGGTTCAGGTGATTCCCCTGCCTCAGCCTCTCGAATAGCTGGGATTACTGTCACCCACCACCATGCCCAGCTAATTTTTGTATTTTTAGTAGCGACGGGGTTCCACCATGTTGGCCAGGTTGGTTTCGAACTCCTGACCTCAAGTGATGCATCTGCCTCAGCCTCCCAAAGTGCTGGGATTACAAGTGCGAGCCACTGCGCCTGGACACTTTCTCTTTTTTGTAAGATTGTAATATTCTAGTGCAGGCATTCACACACGTGGATGACAATCATCATTTTTTTCAAACTAAGCACTCTCTGTTATGCATTAGTGGAATATTTATGTGAGTTATACTCATACTCTTTGTAAAACGGTTTGGATTCTTCTGAATCCCTGGCCTGAGGTCTTCAAAAAGATGTTAAAAAATAATGTTTTTCTCCTTTTTGGCACCAGGCACCCGTTTTGTGGAAGACAATTTTTCCACAGACAGTGGTGGAGAAGGGATGGTGAAGATGGTTTTGAGATGAATCAAGTGCATTGCATTTACTGTGCACTTTATTTCTTTTATTATTATATACTCAACAAAATGTAGAATGAGTGGGAACCCTGAGCTTGTTTTCCTGCAACTAGATGATCCCATCTGGGGGTGATAGGAGACAGTGATAGATCATCATACACAACCTAGGAGCACACAGCCTAGATTCCTTGCATGCAAAGTTCACAATAGAGTTTGCACTTCTAGGAGAATCTAAGGCCACGGCTGAACTGATAGGAGGCAGAGCTCAGGCAGTAATGCCAGAGATGAGGAGCAGCTATAAATACAGATAAAGCTTTGCTCCCCAGCCTGCCACTCACTTCCTGCTATGCGGCCTGCTTCCTAATGGGCCTGGGACCAGTACTGGTCTGTGGCCCCCAAGTTGGGGACCCCTGCCTTAGACCACTTAGCTATGTAATACACTGGTAATTATGTGTCAACTGAAAACATTTTTAAATATTGTTTTGAAGAAATATTCTTAATAAATCAAGTTAGCCTGCTGGTTTTAGAAAGCTGAAAGTAAAAAATTATTTTAATTTTACATACAATGATACAAGTAAGAACATTTTATTCTTCTGATTTGGAAGTCACCAGACTCTATAAAGTTGATATGTAGTGTGTGCATGTGTGAGTGTATGAGTGAGTGTGAACATAAGTAGGCTTGTGTGCCTCCGTGATGTGGGCTGTGGGAAGAGCTGTTTCTGTTAATTTTTAAAATTCTTTTAAAGATACGGTATATCTGAGTTGCAAAGGCTATTGATGTTTTTTATAATTCTTATCTAGAAAATAACTGACAGTTCCTCTTTATGAAGAGACCAAATTCTAGAGGGATTTTCTAGTGTCCTTGCAGAGGCTTCAGAGTTTTTTTTAGCTATTTGATTCCTTTTCTGTTTAAAAGGAGGTAGTATCTGAAGTGGATCCAAGCACAGGTGAAGGGGGTGGGAAGAAGGGAGTTGAAACGTTGATTTGGGCAGGGAGCTCATCTGTAAAAAAGAGACCTTAACATTTATCTCATTAAGGTATTGTGAGAATTAAAAGATGTAGTAATGTATGTGAAGTGCTCATTCCAGTATGTAGTGAGTATCCTGTGATTAGAAGTTATTATTATTACCTAGCCATTTAGAAGCACCTTGTTATTTATTCTCCTCACATTAATTGAGTTGTTTAATTAAAATTAGCTGAGGCATCAAAGAACTATCCTTTCAGTATGAAAAAGCAGAGACCATTTACATAGTCCCCATTTCTATGGTGTTATTTACTAACACATCTTAAAATGTCAAGTAATTCTTTTCTTGCTCAGAATATATGTAATTCAGACAGTAATAAATTTTCAATAAATAGAAACATCAAAATATTAAATGGATGATTTAGGACTAAATAAATTGGGCAAATATTTTCAAAATATTCAATGTATTCCTTGATAAATATTTTTATTTATTTATAAAACTTTATTTCCTGTCAAACTGTCTGAAACATATTTTTGCTTTTCTTTGCAGTAAAATAACAGAATATTCACAAATAAGTCTAAAGAGAACAAAGCATGACCTAAATAAAGAAAAGTACAACTGGAAGTTATAAAAGAAGACTTGAATAAATGAACAAATATACTATTTTCCTAAAAGGAAGTTAAATATCACAAGGGTATCAATTCTTCATAGTTAGTAAATCAAGCCCAACCAAAATATCAATAGTATTTTTCTTATTTGTTATTTTTAAAGTTGTAAAATTCATCTACAATATATATTTTGAAAGAAATGAGGAAGATATCATCCCCAAATATATTAACATATATTAAAATGTTGAAATGATTCATTATAAGACTAATCTGCAGGCCGAGCGCGGTGGCTCAAGCCTGTAATCCCAGCACTTTGGGAGGCCGAGGCGGGTGGATCACGAGGTCAACAGATCGAGACCATCTTGGTCAACATGGTGAAACCCCGTCTCTACTAAAATTACAAAAAATTAGCTGGGCACGGTGGTGCGTGCCTGTAATCCCAGCTGCTCGGGAGGCTGAGGCAGGAGAATTGCCTGAACCCAGGAGGCGGAGATTGCGGTGAGCCGAGATCGCGCCATTGCACTCCAGCCTGGGTAACAAGAGCGAAACTCCGTCTCAAAAAAAAAAAAAAAAGACTAATCTGCAGATCTTGGTGGAGAAAATACATATTCTGTGGAATTCCAACTTTCTGTGGAATTAGGGTAGCAGCATAAATCAGTGAGAAACAGACATATCAAATTTTTGTTGTTGAGTAACAATGGGATTTAAATTAATTTTGCTTCATGTAACTCTAATTTTCCATATAAATTCTTAATAAATTGAAGAGTGAAAATTTTTTTTTAATTATGGATATATCAGAAAAGATAACAAAAGAAAACAGTGGCTGGGCATGGTGGCTCAAGCTGTATTCCCAGCACTTTGGGAGGCCAAAGCAGGTGGATAACTTGAGGTCAGGAGTTCAAGACCAGCCTGGCCAACATGGTGAGCCCAGCCTAGCCAACATGTAAAAATACAAAAATTAGCCAGGCATGATGATGCATGCCTGTAATCACAGCTACTTGGGAGGATGAGACAGGAGAATCGCTGGAATCCACGAGGCAGGGATTACAAGGAGCCAAGATCTCGCCACTGCTCTCCAGTCTGGGAGACAGAGTAATACTTTGCCCCCAACACACACACACAAAGTATACATTTTTAAGAAAGAGAAAATCACAATTCATAATCCTGTCATAACTTGAACTCCATGTTGACTCTGTTTCCCCTCCAACTCTCCTTTCATTGCTGGATGGTATTCACTATATTCACAATATTTCTCCTATAAGTGAACTTGAGTCCTTCGTGCTTCTTATTTATATTCCTCTGTACATCTCCTAATGTATATCAAGTGTTCTCAGGGAAAATTCAGAAAAGGGAAAATCAAGAA